TTTTCGAAGGGGCCGAAGTTATTTTCGGCGAAAGGTATGGCTAGCTTATATTTTTGTTCAGACAATTGCGTAATTTGATACAATATGATCATGTTTGACTTCAAAGGCCCATAAATCTCTACAATTGTTGATAACGAGTAAGACTATACGGAGAAAAGAGTTAAATCTTCTATTTCTGAATCGAATGGTGGTATTTCTGTCTTCATAGCATGCACAGAACCGAAGATATGAAATTTCTCGCCGTCGATCTATAACGGATTGACCGCGACTGGGCGGTGGCAAAAAAGAGATAAAAGCTTGACGTAAGTAAATTTTATGCATAAAGAACCGTTTCAGAATCTGTTTTAAATTCCCAAGAGCAGAAAATCGTGCACTTTACAAAGATATTTTAATTTCTTGACAAGTGAATATTCAATATATGCACTCTTGTCAATATTTTACGCATCCTGGCATTCAGCTTAGTGCTAGGGCATTCAAATTTTAACAATACGTTATTTCAATGGTTTTGCGGGGTTTTTTGGGACACCCTGTATTGAAATAATGTATTGTTAGAATTTTCATGAATGCCTTAGCACTAAGATGAACGCAAAAATGCGTAAAATATTGACAGGGTGCATATATTAAAAATATTGACTTATTAACAAATTAAAATATCTTTGTAAAGCGCATGATTTTCTGCTCTTGGGAATTTAAAGCAGCTTCTTAAACAGTTCCTTTATGCATAAAATTTACGTAATTGAACCTTTTAGGCACTTGTGGATTCAACAGAGTGCTGAGACATTCAAATTCTAATAATACGTTATTGTTCGTTTATAACATTATATAACGTTTATAAGAAACGTAATTATATTCACTACAGTACTATTGTCAACTGAACGGTTCATTTCACAAGTAAGATAAACTAAACTTGCATCCGATCAGCATGGGCATCCAACAAAGGCTTGTGCTGCGCGCTCGCTATTGTAAATGCCCAAAATATACAGATCGGTCGTCCGTATTTTATCTATTACTATATGATATATATATATATATATATATATATATATATATATATATATATATATATATATATATATATATATATATATATATATATATATATATATAATATCAATCCCCGCGCAACGTGCGCCTTATGACCGAACATCGAATACCAATAAAATTTAAAAAGGTTAACTCTTGACCCTCCGTTGATTTTCAGTAACTTGTGCCAAATCTGAATTGAACATTTTACAAAATACAAAAGAAAGGGTGGGGAGGGTGGGTGTGTGGTGGTCGCGGGTTTACCATTGGATGGGCTTCAATAAACAATTGTCGATGGGAGAGAGAAGCACCATCAGAGAATATGCTCAAAAGCACCTCCATAATCCAGTATCCCCTTCTCATGCGCTACTGGATTTTGGCATATACAGTGTGTCCCCCCCAACCTCAAAACTATTGAAATAACGTATTGTTCACATTTGAATGCCTAAAGGCCCACACAGACCGGACGCGATTCGGGAACGCGACGCGAATTTTCAGTTTTCAAAAACAAATAAAACCGTCAACGGATAAAAATTTTACAAGATATGCAAACCAAATAGCTAATATTGCTTAAGTGATTCCGAATATTTGAAAAACATTGAAAAATATTAAAATTAAATGTTATTGAAAACTGAAAATTCGCGTCGCGTTGCCAAATCGCGTCCGGTCTGTATGGGCCTTAAGCGTTAAACTGAACGCGTTTGCATAAAATATTGACAGGCCGGGTGCATATATTATAACAAGACGCCTGCTCAGGCGTTCACACTGACCTGAAAATGGGAAATGACGACATACATTCTTGTAATATACAAGCATACAAAAGAAATGGTGAAAGGCTAAAAAGCGTGGCGTGATCCTCAGGAGATGTTTTCGTTAATGTCCAACGAAACACAAGTATTACTCATAAATACAAACGTTATCCATAAATGCACATATATGATCTCTAAGCATGCGATGCTCTAACGCAGACAACATTGTTTACATTCCGTGAGTCCGTGTTAACGTATAAAATTCGAAAAACTCAGCGATCCAGATATAGAATTTCCAGAGACGTTGCACGCGCAGTCAACTTCCAAGAAAGTGCAGAGTAGGATAAATCCATAATCCACAGAAAAACGCGCTAAAATTCGTTGACAAATGAATAAAATTGTTTGAGATTGAAGTAGTCACTCATTCAATGGCCGCTATCTTGAAAACTAATCTGTAAGTAAACTGGAACGACTGGAACCCTGGAAACTGAGCCTGCGATGCGCTAACGCAAACTCGATTTCTCGACGATGAAACCCCCCCAGGAAAAATCAGATATTTAGGGATTTAAAACACTTGACCTTTCAGGTCAGTATTAATAATTTATTAAGGAATTTATTCAGGTCAGTATTAAGAACTTATTAAGAAATTAAAATATCTTGGTAAAGCGCATGATTTTTCGCTCTTGGAAATTTAAATAATTAAACAGTTTCTTTATGCATAAAATTTACTTATGTCAAGTTTATATATATGCACGTACTTGTGGGTTCAGCAGAGTGCCGTGAAACAATCAGATTCTAACAACGTTATTTCAATAGTTTTGGGGTTTTTTGGAACACCCTGACCCTGTATACAGTATGAGTGTCCTTATGAGAAAACTGTTTTCTGGTACATACATGCAATACATGAGCATGCGAGCACTCGTGTGATACCAAAATAGGAAACATCCAGTATGCTCTTGAGCACCATCATGTATATACAAAAACTCCGTACCGTCGCGAGAATAATCACAAGCTTAATACTAAATTTTCGAACTATATATGAGCGTCGTGTTCATGAGTTGAGGATACAGGATTAAGTTATCCTTAGAAGCATGCACGCTCACAAATGTACTAAAATCCTGTATACTTATGAGCACCCTCATATATATACCAAAATCTCGTAACGGATGAGACTGCTCAGGAGCAGGGGTGGCGCTAACCCTCTTCGATTTTATCCCTCAGCAAATGCTATTTTACACTCAAAGTACTCTTTGCATGTCTTCACAAATGTAACGAGGAAAAACTATCATTAGGCTATATAAACATTATACATTATTATAAGGGAGTATATGCAATGAACAGCTGCATGCATGTCTGTTCCTAACTACGTAAAATGATTTAACCCGAGTTCCCTCGGATTGGTCTGCATGCAATCTTGACTGAAAGACTTTTCTGAATATCGAACATTATCGCGTATGCTACTCAGTAGTATTTAGGGAACTTTTATGTGTATTTTGTTGTCCTAATGTCAATATTGCAGTTGAAAATAATGCGCGGGGTTTGCGGGTTTGCCTTGTTGGGACTTCGAGTCCGTTTGCCATTCCCTTATCTATATAACTCGCCTTTTTCTGTTTGTATATAAAGTCTACTATATCTTTGTTTTTAAAACGTATTTTTGTTAAATTTTAGTGAGTTCAATTAAGCTTATTATTATTATTATTACTATATACATGCTTCGAAACATAGACTAAAAAATCCACCATATATAACTGTTCATTCTCTCAAGAATTCTTTCTTCGCCTATAGCTCTAGCACTAGTTAGTAAAAAATTTATGAGAGTTGGTTACCCATATTCCTGCATGAAGAACCCAAATTTACAGAAATAAAACAGTAGTTTCAGGTTGAGCAAAACTGGATCGAAGCACGACACTGGGCAAAATTATTCATATCAATGTCTGGTTTATAAGTATAAATGAAAAACACGATCACTAGCTATTTTGTCAGAGCCATAGATATAGGAGATCTAGATTGCTAACGCATACCTAGCGCAGGCGGGGCCTACATGATAAATCCAAGATGGCGGTACAACAGGGCGAAAAGACTATAGATTCTATTACGAAAATCAGGATTTTTGCATTTTTTGCCGTCGCATTGTTTCGAAACTTATTCGGTCAAATTTTATGGTAAAGAGAAACTTACCGCGAAGATTATGAGCATATATATGATTTAATTGGACGAAAAATCGCAAAATTATCCAGCAATAAAGGTTCGTGTGAAATGGTCAGTTGGTCAGTTGGAGCGTTTTATTGCCAGAAATACTGTGCTATGTTTAACATCTAGCCTTGTGAATGGTGTTTTATTCTTGCATCTCTCATCATCATCTGCTCTGTCCTCATAATTATGAAAAGTGAACTGTTATGTACCCCCCCCCCACCCCCCTCCTTGCTTGTTAGAGATGTAAACTGATGAGAGCACTGGATGAGGGTCTATCATCTATGGTCTGTTATAATTTGCTTTTTATGCAAATAATGAGCAAAAATTAAAGCAAAACTGTACAAGTTACATATATAGTACTATATCAGTACTATACATAAACTCTTATCGATGGATAATTTTGCGAGTTTTCATCCAATTCAATCATATGCTCAATATCTTCGCGGTAAGTTTCTCTTTACCATAAAATTTGACCGAATAAGTTTCAAAACAATGCGACGGCAATAAATGCAAAAATCCTGATTTTCGTAATATAATTTATAGTCTTTTTGCCCTGTTGTACCGTCATCTTGGATCATGTAGGCCCCGCCTGCGCTAGGTATGCGTTAGCAATCTGGATCTCCTATATCTATGGTCAGAGCACGCGCCTTTCACCTCTGAGATCGCGGGTTCGATTCTCGCTATACGGAGTCATGTGAAAAGAGTCAGTCAAAACTCTTGGGCAAATGGTGAGTTTTCTCCGCGTGTTCTGGTTTCCATCCACAAGAGGGGAAGTTTTAAGACAGGGTGGGCTAAATACAGTTAGGAACGTAATATGTCAATTTTAAGTAAAAATAAATAGTCTAGACTGAGTAAGTAACATGAGGGAAATACTTGATGTAATCGGTCACTGCAAAGCCCCAATAGGGAGTGAGCTGAATAATAATGTAAAGTAATGTAAATGTTATAGGTATTACATGCACCTAACACTGCCAGCGCGCAAGCAATCTTTATAACCACAGCATGCAGTGCCGAATAATTCTCGTATTTTCATACCTTCTCGATTATTATATCAAGGTGGCTGAACTCAGAGTTATGCAGACTTCCATCAGCATCAGATGTATCTTGCAATGTTTTACTGTTGAGCTCACATAAACCTTTACCGATTCCAGATGTTTTATAATTTACTGACGCACGTGATCCGTCTGCAACGCAATGCAAGCCACATTGTAATTCGGTTTCTGCTTGTTTTGTTTTCATGACATAATTCGCCAAATAAGTTTGCTCCTTTCTACGAAAGCTAGCTTGCTCAGTCAAACATTTGCCTGGTTGTGTTATTTGCGAGACAAAAATTAGCGCACAAATGCTTCGTAAGACAGCCATTGTAAGACTACTGATATAAGTCATTGGACACACAGTTTTACGTTGGCAACAGCATTTACATATTAAAAGCATTTAGTTAAAAAAATGGACGGAAAACAGCTGACGTGACCTGTTTGAAATTCCGAATGAGGAAAAAAATTTACGAATATTTAATGGCATACGAAGCCAAGAAGGTGTTTGCAATCCGGAAAATGAAGACGCAATTTACAAACAAAAATACGCATATTTTACGCACAGACATATTTCAGAAGCATGCAGTGCAGTAGGAAGCTCTTTTTTATTTGGGGGGCTGAAAACGAGGGCCGAAGGACCGAGGAAATTTTTAAATTTAGAGTCTCTAAAATGCCATTTCCTGGACTTTGGGGGAATGAATTTTGATGGTCAGAAAACAGCGTTTTATTATGTCGAAATTTACAATTTGCTTTCAATTTAGCAGTACTAAATGGGCGAAGGCGTATTTAATTAATTAACTTTAAAAAACTCATTAATAATTCAGGAGCAAAACACAAAGAAGAATCAGAAGCGTGTCGTGGTTTTATATGTGATATAAAATCATGTTAATTTACATAAACTTTAGCTTGATTTTCACGGTTTAGACAAAGTTTATTTTAAAAATTACTTCGCCAATGAACTCGTATAAGATGAGTCGTTTTTAAAGCCATTTAAAGCACGCGTAGGAGTGTTTTATCATATAAGACACTCCGCTACGCGTCGTGTTTTATATGTGACAAAACACTCTTATACGCGTGCTTTAAGTAGTACATATATTGGAGAAGATGCAGGAAAGTATGGGTAATATGATTCCCTGCAGTTTGTCATGGATAATGTAGCCGCTTAAAATTAATTGTCAGTATTTTAAAGGTATATTATTTAAATGATAAAGGTGTGCATGATTTTGAAAAAAGAATGATTATTAGCAAATTATTGCCAGGGCTGCAGGCTGCTCCCCCCCCCCCCGGTTGCTACGGCCCTGAGAAGTAAGAAACAGAAAAACATTTACCGACTTACGATTTTTTTATGTTTTCCATCTAAATACCATGATTTCGTAAATCAGTTTAAACTGACAATTAACATATACAATTATATTATATTTTCTCTGTTTAACAATTAAAAGTCTAAAATGCTATTATTGCCGTAATTTTCCGAATGGCCAACCTGATTTTCCGAACATGTTAAGGGGTATAGCCAACCCTTACTTAATCGAACATTTGCCTTGTGGTATTTTTGAGATCATGAAAATTAATGCACAAATACTCAACAAGACAGCCATTGTATAAAACTGATGATAAGCCTTTGAGCATTGCTAGCTATAGTACATGTATAAAAAGTAAACATATCATTTATTAATAATTAACTGCAAGGTGGAAGTATCTGCTCGTGAAGCAAGAACCCCATTTATATATTTTTCTTCAAAATGATTGACTGCTGGACAGACCCCAAAAATTTATTGGCTGAACTCGAACTTGCTTAACTCGAACTCCTCGCTAGGTAATTCGAACAAATTTTGTTTTCCCTCGGTCAAATTTATCCAATTAACTCGAACTTTGTTTTCGAGTCGTGGATCGGCAATCCATATAAAATGTCAGAACATAGCATTTTGAATTGGATTTTTATTCCAATAACGACAATTTAATCGGAGGATAAATGATCATAAATTTTAAAAGATTAGACACATAGTTGCGACGATATTTTTCCTGTCCAAAGAACTTTAGTTTGCATGGAACTTGCATGCCTCCTCCATCACCCAAGTTGAAAAAGATACCGACCAAAGAACTTTAGTTAGGGATGACCAATTAAACTTTTTGTAATTTTGATGAACAGTATAATAAAACTTTTATTACAATATCTTGCATAGTTTTTGAGATATCAGCCGTGGGCACTTTCCCCCCCTAGTGGCAGAAGACCAAAAAGGTCCAGTCTGGATAAGGTTGATTAAATCACATTGTTTTTGCAGTGCATGATCAAAAACGTTTCTACAAAATAAACAATCAAAACAATGTAGCCCAATCAAACTTCAAATGTCTTATACTGAACAGCAACCCTCAAAAAATTTGGTGTAGTCATCCTGGAAAAACGTAATTGCTGCCAGTTCCCACCTCATTTTGTCGCATTTGATTATCTGATAATCACAAAAAGTATGCTAATTAGCATTTTGATGACGAACTTTACCAATTTACCAACATTTTTACGTGAATAAACAAGTTTCAATGTTTAAATATATAATTAATACAACAACACTTTAACTTTCAAACCTCTATAGCTATACAATGTTTTTGCATGTATAAAGACGAAAAATAGATCTATTAATTTCTATGTACTTCTGTATAACAACTAAATTTCGAGCACTAATACTACAGCACTAGCTAATACTGTACAATTACTTACGTTACCTCACGTGGTGGACAGGCCATTTTCGGATTACGCTCTATAGTTCTCAAGAACAGTAGCACAAAGTCGAGGCTTCTTACTCAATTTGCTATAGAAACATTACATCTTTCCGCGAAGCCTCCGTTCTCAGGCAATTGTCTGTGGGTATTTGACCGTAATTCGGAAATAGACAATTGCTTTATAAGTGGCAAAAACTTCATGCACATAAATAATTTATACTTTTTCGTTCGTACGTATACTATGCAATGAATTTGATCTGTTTCACACCACGGAAATTTTACGTCAAGTATTGTTGGCCACATATAAAATACACCGTATGATAGTATAGCTGCAGAGTCTATCCTGCGTAGTAAACGATCGATACTGCGTTGCTGAAAGTTAATGAACATAATAGCTAAACCTAATATTAAACCCAATCCTATATACACCCAATCATATTTCTATTTCAAGACTTAATCTTGATGCTAAACCTAATCCCAAAACTAAATCTAACTGATAAATCGGACTCTAAACTTAATCATAACGTTAGACCAATATAATCCTAAACTAACCCTACATTGTCAAAAGAAATTGGTTCGAACACCGGGGGGAAGGGGCTGGGGATTTAGCCCCCTAATATTTGTAAACTAGCGATAATCCGTTCTAATTAATTCTAGCTCAAAATGTTCATTTGTTTCTATTTCACGAAGGGACTTCTTGCCTTCCTCAGTAAACTTGTTTCCACGTAGGGACAATTTAGTAAGCATACAATGTTCATCTCGCAATGCATTACGTAGATCGGGTATACATTCATCTGTTAATGAACAACGGGACAGGTTCAATTTCTCAAGTTTACAATGCTCCATTGTTAAAGCCGATCTACACAAGATGCGTAAACCTTCATCGCTTATACCTTTATTCTCTTCTAGAGACAATACAGTCAGTTTGCAACGCTCATCTGTAAGTACTTCACACAAGGAAGATACGCATTCATCAGTTAGTGAACAACCACCAAGAAACAGCTCAGTAAGGGTAAATAGCTTCTGTTCAATAAGGGCGTTACACAACACTAGTGCTACACTCTCATCAAGAATGCCAGTGTTAGTAAGATCCAGGCATGTAAGTTCCGGACATAGTTTATTGCCAAGGACTTCACAAAGTATGGATACTCCACGCGAACTTACTTCACAATATTGGAGGTGTAATTCCTCGAGATAACTTGCATGTCCGTTTTTGAAAAACTCATGCATCATCGATGAACTTTCTTCATCAGTTACGCGAAACCATCGAATAAATAACTTCGTAAGCTTAGCGTGTTCGTGCTTCAATGAACAATTTGATTTCACTAATGCTTTAAACAGATGTCCCGCTTCAAGACCGTCATATAATGAGCCAATTAGATGCAGTTGTTTTATACATCTTTGTTCCAGCAATTTATTAATTTCCGGATACGATTCTTCATTCGAGTCACCCAGGGCAAAATCTAATATCGTTAATTTCTTCAAGTGTTTGCAAACAAAAGTCACTGCTGCACAGTCACTTGAGGTCAAGTTTGATATGCCATCGTATCTCACACTCACGACATCATTCATACCAGTTGTTTCGCAAGCTAGTTCAACAATGTCTTCATCATCCACCTCCCTCAAACATTTCATTACAAATACACTGTTATCTGTAACATCAAATATACCATCTTCTCTAACAAACCTTTCTGCGAACGCCAAAACACAATCCTTGTAGCCGTTTTTCTTGCCCAACTGACCAGCAATGAACTGAAGCACTAAATGCCATTTACCATTTTCAATATGAGATAAAATAAACTCCTTGATCTTTTCCGGAGTAAACGTTTCGGTCACGTGCCTTGCAGCAAGAAATTCTTGTATAGTGAGATGGATGAAACAAAATTGTGTCTTAATAGGGCTCGACAAACTGTTTAACAAACCAGAATTTTTCATTTCTTCATCAAATGGTTCTTCATCGAAAACCAGTCTCATGCGTTCAATTCCATCATATGCCAATAACTGAAGTTTCCTAATTGCTTCTTCAGACGATTGTCCGGACAATTTTCTGTTGTGATGCTTATCAAAATAGGTTATGGCTAACTGATAAAGTTCAGTAACTGTTGTTGGTACAGCATCGGTGTCATTTCTAGGATCACTAACACATTCAAACAAGATTGTACAAACAATCAAGCAATTTACAGGAATGTAACATAAATTTAACAAGTCTGACGAGGATTTTATGTGCTTCCAAATCTTTTCTTTTAGATTACCTCTGTTATTATTGTCACAAAATTGACTCACATATTTTTCAATTTTGTCTGAAGTGAAACCAAGAATCTCAACTGTTCTATCAAAAGTAAGCCTAGAGTAAAAGTCATTAGCAGTTGGTCTGCTCGTTACCAAAACCGTTGCCTTTGGCAATACGCGACCAGAAATCAGTTTTATAAACAATGAAATCCCAGACATGGAAATATTAGGATCGTTTGGAGGCGGTAAGTGGTCTAAACAGTCAACGTTGCCACTAAACTCATCTAAACCATCAAAAATAAGAATGGCTTTTTCTGGGCGATTCGTTATATCTTGATAAATTCTTTCAAATTTTTCATCGCTTAGACCTGTTCCATAACGAAGAAACGCCTTGAGAGTTATGTCTTTCAATTCGTTTGAATCGAACCATCTAAACTTAAAGTAAAAGACAATTTTGCGACGATAAAATATATCAACACCATTAGCCCAATCACGCATGATTCTTTCAGTCAAGACTGTTTTTCCTATTCCGGGACGTCCAACGGCCAGAATCTTGCGGGGAAACTTGTCTTTTGTATCTTTGTTGGGATAAAATAAATCTTTTACCTCTTCTAGACGTACAGAGTCTGGGGGAACGTCCATATAAACATCGAAAATTTCATGTCTTTGCATATCTTTCGAAAATTTATGCGGAGCTCGTTCGGTATGAATAACAACGTCAACATATAAATCATCTAAACCAGTTTTTGGTCCAGAGATTACATCAGTTGTACGGAAAGGTTCCAAAACTTGTCCTTTGTAAAAGTCTATACATTCTTGCAAGTTTGTTAGTTGATAAGACTTGACACGTCCATAATGCTTTCGCAACAAATAATCCGTAATAAATTCGGTATCACAAGTTGGAAATCGTCGACATAGACGAATCCATTCCACAAGCATTACTGAAGCAACACCAATGTTTAATACAGATACCATGACCCACCATACCAGTTTCTCAGATGCACTCAAATTTTCACAAGAAATAGTTGTACTATTCAACAGAATGTCACTCGCATTCACTGGTGTCTTGGACGTAAACGCTGTTCGTCGTTTACAGCTAAACTTTGAATCGAAACCACTTGGAAAAAACAATGCAAACTGTAGGATAGTAAACAGTATTCCAGATAGGACACGAATAGCAAGGTGGAAAAAGTAGAAATAATAAACATAAAAAGTTCTGTCCTGTACCTGGTTCTCTGCTTCGCCTTGTATTTGTGGTTCATTACTTGAGTCGATTTCCTCAACACGACTTCGGACCCCGAGTGAATAGATAACAGCGACAATAATCGGGAACCAAATACTCAGTATGGCAAAGCCATAAAATGGAAGTGGGGAATTATAATTCTCTTGATATCTTGAATAACAGAATTTGTCGACTTCCGTCTTGTATATCACTTTTCTTTCAGGCGTGACATAGCAAGTAAATTTTCCAGGCTCTCCCTCTTTTAAAGAAACAACGATACCTGTAAATATCAGAACATACGTATGCCAAAATTCTTAATGTTTTCGGGGTTGATACACTCTTCCGGAACGTATTTGCATGGCCTTGTTACCGCTTGAGAGCCTTTATTGTTACCGATTACTTAATTATATAAATGTCTTTTACATAATCTAATAACTAACTACATGTAAGGACGAAAATGGCTCAGGAGCCGACCACTGGAATTAATTTTGGATGTGAGGCTAATACCGCACTAATTGCAAATCTTATGTGCATGCACATTATTTGCTATGATGGACCAAACCCAAATTGTTGCTGTTTAGACAAATTCCTGAAAAATCTGGAAAGTAAAAGTTCTGGAAATAAATATATCTGTAGACACGAATGATACGCATGAACTAAACTATATCATATTAACTTATAATTCTATAGTTACAGACAGTTAATTTACTACCTGGAAATAGTGTGGGAAAACTTACTTTCTCTCCGAAAGTTTACACGGAAGTTACTAATGACGGCTTACGTTGCACATTAATCGCAGTTTACTGTAACCAACCGAACTTCCACTTGACAGAACAATTATGCGAATACACAAGGCAAATGTCGAGATTTAATTTAATTCCACATATATTTTCTTTAGTAACAACCAATACGAATTACTCAGTATTTACGGTTGCAGATAAATTGAGAAGCGTCAACGAACGCTACGTCCACAGTAATGTGTCGTGACCATCGATTATCTGTATGTTTCATATGGTTATTGATGTTAATGAGGCAATTCGTACACACGTACGCATTTAAATGCGGGTAAAATAATATAACTGTATGATTTTGTAAATTTGCAAGTTGTAATTAGAAATATTAAAGACACCAAATCCGATATCCCGAGACTGAAGATATGGGCCTTATAGCCAAATCAAGTACTTTCCATAAGAGTGTGTTAAGGTTGTCCTTTCAAAGTCAAAACATATTATCCCATACCTGTGTTAAAAGCGGCTTTCTGATTGGTTTAGAGCAGGTGAGCTTGTCGTCGAGCTCACCTGCTTTTCGCCCAAACTCACCCGCTAAACTGCTTACGTTGCAATATTAACAATAACAAATATGGCGGACAAGATTTAGGCGATAAACCTAAACTTTAAAGATCTTTTTCGGTGACTAACATACTGAGACTGAAGAAAAACCAAAGAAAAAAATGCAGTAAAGGTAATGTAGACGTAGATAAAGAAGTATTTTCTTGCCCAGTGATTTTTTTGGCCGGGAAAATGTTTACAAAACATCGACGAATATATCGCGAAGAACTACAAATGTGTGTATGGCTCGGTGTATGGGATAAAAACCAAACGTACTAACAGGTTCGGTGAGTCCGGGATTGGACGCACCTCGGGTGGCTGGAAGTTTCCTGAACTCACCTTGCTTCGCTCGGGAAACTGCAAGTACGTTTGTTATAAAGATGATTTCCACTCCTTTCTCCCCCCAGATATAAACATTGCCCAAATTTTGCATCTTTCGAACCTTTTTGAATTAACACGAAGAGTTTATATTCATTTACAAGTATAGCGTACCAGAAAAGCACCCCCTAGTAAGTAGTGGTATCTAGCACTCCCCCTATATAGTGGTGTCTAGCGTGTGTGGATTTACCGTGGGGTGGAGGGGATGCGCACCCCACCTAGAGGTGTCTAGTACCTCCCTAGTGGTATCTAGCATCACCTTAAGAATCTGCTTCCCCATAGAACATCTATCATGTTAGCGCGTGTCGATTTCTTGATCATGAAACGATTTAGTTGATTTGTGAGCTCACGAGAAAATACTCGTTAAATATGTAAACATATACAGCCATATTTTCAAACATACTGTACTTGAACAAGAAAATTTACTGTACTGTACTACAGCAACCGAGCAGTCACCCATACGTGATAAAAAGCCAATATAAACATTATAAACAACATAGAATATAGCAGAACGGCGGAACTGCAGAGGAGAGTGGGCAGTAAAGCTCACTCATGCACCTCCCCCCCGCCACAATAGAAAACCAGCACTCCTCCTTGGGGATGATGTCAGATCCGCCACTGGACTTTTATTGCGGAAATCATATAATTAAGCAAATGCCGACTGATATATCGCTCTTTAGAAATTCACTTGATTAATGGATTTACATTTTGAAACCAATTTCTCAATCCGAAAACGATACTCTAGCTATATATGGGCAACGCTAAGTACGTTCCGGAAGGATGTGTCAAATTAAGTTAATTCCTTTCAAAGTCAAAACTGCAAAATCTCGAAATCCAAACGCGAAGAGCATAATGGATACACATACAGTACACATACAGTATGTAATTGAGTATTTATTCGGCTTGTATAATTGTGTTGTTCAAACTTTAAGTTTTAATGTTAGTATAAGTAATTGCATGGGGCCGAGTAAAATTAAGGTTTATAGTTTCACGCGTGTTTTCAAAGTTCCGCACTTAGAAAACATAAATGAAGTTAAACCTTAATTTTACGAGGAACTATGCGATTAGTTGTTAAGAGGAGATTTTTTTGTATGTTACATAACAGGCGCTCAAAACTAATGCGTATATAATATATCACTTGAGGTTAGGACTAAATTCAAAATTTTTATTTTTCGATACGTTTCTCAATCGGCAAACAAACTTAAAAAGTAATTTTAGTGCTTTATCTGTAAAATAATGCCAAAATGAAGAGATTTTAGATGATACGCCAAAGAGAAAATGATGTCTGAAGTTCAGTAAGTTTTGCTTATATGGCTGTAAATATGGCGTCAATTTTAAAGCATCATTGATATTTGTATTTTAATTGACAATTTTTAACTATTATTTTATGTTTCTCAACTGGCAGATGCATTTAAAAAGGTAGCTAACTCCATAACCTAGTGAATAAAGCTAAAACAAAGTAATTTTGAGAGGAACGCGAAAACAATTTTCGGTTTTGAACACTTTTCATTGCAAATACGTGACATTGAAAAAAATTGCCTCTTAATTATAAAGGGCAAAATTTATTCGTAAATTAATTGTGAAGTTGTCAAGTTCTCGAACCTCGTATGTCTCCATGCATGTCTTCGCCTTTTCGCCAATGTTTCTTAATGCTGCGCTGCCTGCCAATTTCTTAACTGATACCACAACCAATAAATTTGTACTTTTTCTAAGTGCTGAAGTTTTCACTAGAAGTTTTTAATTCTTCAATAACATCATTCAATAACGACAAAGCGAGTAGCCATTGTTTTTATTGCTATTTAAGACGACAAACTTCCCTCGCTTGCATCTCAGCCAATCAGATACACGTAAATTTGCCCTGAATTAAGAAAAAATGCCCTGTATATGATTAAAATCTGAAACAACATGGATTGAGAAAGGCTTTACTAGACAATCACATGATTCAACTAAAAATTTCATGCAAAGCTTCGTTTTTAGCTTTATAACACATTTTCAGACTGCAATTTGCCCATTGTGATGTAATGTAATGTAACTAATTGTTCACTAAAGCAACCTTTCACTATTTATAAACTAGCTGTCTTCAAGAGAGTTCGGTGGAAGTTACTTTGTTGATCAGAACAAGACTTGTAAAAGCAACTTGTTGATTGTCTATGTTGTATTCGTGATATACCGGAAAGTACTTTTAGCTTTTGCTGTAGAGCCTTCTATGTGGGATTGAGATATCGGCTTGAAAGCCCTTAATCTTATTACCATGACCAATGACTTAATTATTTTCTTTAGATTATTATCAATCTCTTACTGGCATGTGTATTTACCTTACTTTCTCTTTCAAAACCTGTAGCTGATATCACTTTCGTAATATTCAATTAACTATACTGGAAGTCGATAAGTGCTATAAAATTTGGGCACAACAAATTAAGTGACTGTCCAATACGGATAGCTGAGATGAAACGTGCAGCCACGATGAATAATATTTCGTGAAGTTGAGAAAAAGGATGTATGCACGGTGAAGTACAGTTCAACATCAAACAAAGGTCTTCTATTTTGTGGCTTTGAAGTTTGCCGCGATTCCAGATCATCGTAGGCTACTTTAATAGAGTAGGATTTCGTAAATGTGCAATCTGTAACAAGCCAAAAAGGCTCGGATACGCTGCAAATTCCAAAGAGTCAAAATGAACTTACTGAATTGACGTTGTTAATTAATAAATGTACTGATGAATTTACATTGTAATTGTAAAGCCGATATCTCAATCCGAAAACGATACGATAATTCTTAACTAGGATTTTAAATTAACCAAGTCGAGCGTTAATAAAGTCGCGAGAGAGCTCCGTGGGGTTGCCGGGACATGCTCCCCCAAAATGTTTTATTTTCTAAGAGGATTTTGAGGGTAGTTTGAACAGAAAATCAATCTCATAAACAGTGAAATAAGGTTTAATAATTATAGTCGATATATTTGGGACACTAAACTCACAGTTTTGTTATTGGGGCATATAGACTTGCCACAAGTTGACTTGCGCCGTAACGCATTGTAACTTGTCTCGTATTGTAAGGAGTAAAACGAGAACGCTTGAGCGAATAAAACGAATGAACTCGACAAAACCCCCCATGCTAAAATCCGCACTATAAAAGACATTTCCAACGAAAATTTTCGTTCTTTCTATATATTAAACAACAACAATACCTGTAAATACCACGCCACAAAGAATATGAACAATTGAACATACGAATACCAAAATACTGAATGTCTTCGGCGTTAAATAATCCTTAGCTGCGCCTATCATGTTGCCATTTCAGAAAAGTACCTGTATATCATAATTTCATTTTCATTTCATTGTAGGGATTGGAAATATTTCGGTCCCGTGCCTGAATGTGTTGACGTTTCCGTCATGTGATAGAAGCTGTGGAAATTTTTTTGATTTCTTCGAATAGAGAATGCAATTAATCTTTCGAAAATTGGCAATGCTAAACTAATGAAAGCTAAGGTACCATTTGATTCTTTATTAACTGTGTAAAAAAGCGTGTTTTGGTCAATTGCTTAATCGCAATGGCGCATCTGGTCTAGCTGGACTCACTACTGTATATCGCGACAGGCGCAGTACGCTTTCATGTTACAATATAATTATTAAATCGAATTCAACGTTGCAAAATGTCGCATTTTACGTGCGTTACGTTTAAGTAAGTGTATTAATATAACTAAAAGTTCATTCATGAGAAATGGAAGAAACATGTTTTGAATTTCTTGCTTTTGGTTTTCAAGACGGATTATAGGAAAATATGTCATGTGAAAAGAAAGTAATAATACGAGTCGGCAAGTCCAGTGCGGCGCAAGAAGAAATGCCTTTGTAGAACAAGAAGAAATGCTCTCTCAACACTTTAACGAGTGAAGCTTGGTTTGGCACACTACCCTGAAACTGTATGCACGACTGAAATGTTTATTTTACCTTCGTAGTATATATACCACTCTAGAGTATTATTATTGTCTGGTTGGATTCACACACAAAATAATGGGAAATTAATTTCTCTCCTCCGACAAGACTTTATTTCTCAACGGAAGTTATAATGCGTCCAGTTGTGAGCCGAAGAATGTTTTTGCCTTTCAGGCTTCGACTTGTGACGACGCACTATATAACTATTAATTAGTTAAATGCGTTTTAATTTGAACAGCAGGAAACCTAACACTACCCACTTGCGTTTTTGGAACGGAAATAACTTGGCCGATACTACCGTATTCAAAGCTAGAATTAAAATACCGTACTTTGAAGAAGCTTCATTTCTTTTACAGACTTTATAAAATGTAACGCAATATCGGATGCGTGGTATGAAGAGATATTGAAGTGAATTTAATTAAAACTTCACCCTTAAAATAATACCCTTGATCTCTCAAATCTACCATCAATTTTGTGAGGTTTTTCAGTAGTAGGTGGTTTAACCAGACTTATTCTAGGTCCAACTAAATTCCCGTATACCAGTTCGACTGGTATACGAGATAATCCAGCTGGATCTTGCTAGAAATGTTACAGAAATGTTAACCCACTAGACAATTAACTTAAAACTTGGGGCTTGGGTGACGAAGTGGTTAGCGCACTTGCCTTTCACCACCTCTAGGGTCGCAGGTTCTAGTCTCGTTGAGAACTTTCTCAATGCGACTCGAACCCAGTCCTCACGTGAAAAGAGTAAATGTCAACGCTCTGCCGAAAGTCGTGGGTTTTCTCCGGGTACTCCGGTTCCCTCGCACAATGAAAGTTGACAGGGTGGGTTAGGTAAAAGGGCCGTATAAAAGCCTAAAGCAGCGCCGTAATTTTATAGTCTTGGCGCAAAGTAAATACGGACATTATATTCAGTGTGTCTTGAAAACATATTTAAAATTTCGGAGTAAAATTCTGTCGGAATAACGGAGCAATCATATGATTAGATATTGCGCAAATTCTTTCTCAACACAGAAGTTAAAGCGGCGCTGTAATAGACCTCCTGAGCTTTGAATGGAATGTTTTCATTTCAATGGGTTTTACACTTTCGCAAGATGTACAGTACTATTTTCAAGATACATAAACAAAATAAGACGGCGATGGCTCTCCCCAACTTAAGTGAAAATTGTCCCCCCCCCCCCCGGCTCCAAAAAACCTATTCTAGGACAGGGGTGTTATTACATCTCCGAATAATTCGTGTCGTAAGCGAGATCCCCAGAAGAATTCCTGTTATAAACAGGATTCTTCCCCCTGAAAAAATCAGCATTTACACATGAAGAATTTCATTGTATACAATTGACTCAAAATACACGTGAATATACAAGAGGTTATTGGAACATACAAATTTAATAGTCGGTAAATATTTAATTTCTAATGTTTTTGTTAGCGCCTGACAGCACACACTCTGTTCTTTACACGTTGGAAAATAGGCAACTCCAGCTTTTAACTTATACGCGCAGAGGGGATGGGAAGTAAGGTATCATGTTGCTGATTATGCTGAAAAATTCAATAAAAACTGCCGAAACAACCGAAATATTTCAATATTTACAAGTATAAGCTATCAGTCTGTTTACACGGGCACTATTTTTTATTTTTCAGCATAATCAGCAATATGATACTTACTTGGCATCACCCCCTGCACGCATAAACTAATAGCTGGAATTGCCGATTTCCAGGCTGGGCAATTTCAAAAGACAAACTTGATTTCCAGCGAATTCTCTCACACATTCTTGACAAAAAATTTTGTGAAAATCCAATAATTTAGAAAACGTTGTCTCACTGCCAAAACTGGATTTGCGAAGTCTTCCAACGGGTAAGGTAAATTCCACAAAAATTGAGATACGTTGCATTGTAAAAGAGAATTTGAGAAAAGAGAATTCAAAAACCAGAAGCCCCAGTTGAACAAGATGTAACAAACTGCAGCAAACTTAATTGTAACAATGCCGTTCCCACAGGATGTGTTCGCACTGCTTGTTCCCAGCTTGTTGACAACTTGCTAGAAGGTTGCTGAGCTCAACCAACTAGCTTGTTACAAGTTGTTCGGAACAACTTGTTATCATCTAGACTTGCCCGAGTCGCTCGCTAGGGAC